CAGTTCTTTGCAATTGTAGGACTGTTAGCTGTCATCTGGGGCTGATTTCTGCTTCTAGAGACTACCTGTATTCCTTGGCTTGTGGCCCCCTTTTGCCCGTCTTTAAAGCCAGCGTTGGGGTGCCTGGGTGGCTCAGTCATTAGGCATCTGCCTTCGGCTTGGGTCATGATCCCAGGGCCCTGGGATCGAGCCCCGCATCAGGCTCCCTGCTCCTCAGGAAGCCTGCTTTTCCCTCTCCCACTCCCCCTGCTTGTGTTCCCTCTCTCGCTGTGTCTCTCTCTGTCAAATAAATAAATAAAATCTTAAATAAATAAATAAATAACTAAATAAAGCCAGCATCAGTGAGTCGACTCCTTCTTGTGCATTGAGTCTAACGTCCTCTTTTGCCACCAACCAGAAAAAACTCTGTTTAAAGAGATTCACATGATTAGAATTAGGCCCACTGAGATAATACCCCTATTTTAGGGCCAACTGTGCTATGTGACATCGCATAAGGGGGGTGGTCAGTGATTTTATGGTACTCACAGGATCTGGATTAGGGCATAGAATCTTGAGGGAGCAATATTTAGAATTTGTGAAGGCCAGTTTGTTTGCAAAATGATTGTCCTGACTGCAAGTTTGAAGGTAATGTAGATTCCTGCACAGAGAAAACTTTTCTCCAAATTTTGACTTTGGAAATTTGCAAACACAAAAAAATAGGAAGAATAGTGTAAGCTACACATATATATCTACAAACGGGATTCCAGTGCTGTTAAAATGTTGCCGTATTTGCTTTATGTATCTACTTACAAGTGTAATGGTATCATAGTCCTGAATATTTGAACATGCATCTCCCAAGAGTAAGGACGAGTTCTTATATCACCTCAGTGCCATTATCATACCTAAGGAAATTAATGATAGTTTCCTTATAATATCTGCTATGTAGTCCCTAATCAAAATTCCCCAATTGTCCAAATATGTTTTATGTAACTGCTTTTTTTCTGAAAAATGATCTAAAGTTTATGAAATGTATTTGTCATATCTCTTCTGTGTCCTTTAAACTAGAACTGTCTCGACAATTTTTTTAATTTGCATCCATAGACTTTGAAGAGATAAGATCAATTTGTCATCTTGTCGAATGTCCTGCATCATCCTGAATTTGACTGTTTCTTTGTAGTATCACTTAACTTATTTTCCTAGCCCCTGTATTCTATGTGAAAGGTTGAAAGGCAACACTATTTCATAGGTTATGCTGTTTGCTTCATATTGTATCATACTAAGAGTACATCATGTCGGACTGCCCCAGTCTTTAGTGTTGTTGAGTTTAACTCCTGAGTTAAAGTGACAACCACCAGATTTTTCCATGCAAGTGTATGCATTTCCCTTTATAGCAAGCGAATTATTTGTAAGGTGACAATTTGGCACCATGCAACTGTCCTGTTCACCAACAGCCGACACCTAATGGTTTTCCCATATGTTCATAATCCCTTCCTGAATCAATTGTGTCTCTAGGGTTTGTGCAATGGCGACTTTTGACTTCTATCATCCTTCTATGTTTATCAGTTGTAATTTTTCTGTAAAGAAGAGGCTTCTCTCTTCAACTAGAGTAGGAGAAATACTTAGCACCAGAGAAAAAGTTGATGTAAAAGTCGTCTTCAATGGTGGCGAATGAGTGGTTTTCCTTTCTCTTCCTTTTCTTTTTTATTATCAGTATAAACTTACGAATGTTATTTGTTTTGGGGCACCTGAGTGGCTCCGTCAGGTAACCGTCCAACTTTTGATTTTAGCTCAGATCGTGATCTCAGAGTTGTGAGATCGAGCCCCACATAGGGCTCCACACCAAGCTTAGGATTCTCTCTCTCACTCTCTCTCTGTCCCTCACCTCCTTCTCAAAAAAAAAAAGAATCTTATTTGTTTTGTTTATAATTAATTATGTTTGTTATCATCATTATCATTATTTGATACTCAAATTACTCAGCCAAATTGGCCACGGAGAACCCTTCAATGTAATGCCAAAATTCTTTTGAAATGACTCCATTAATCTTGGAGGTTTCTTTGGTTTTGTTTTGCTTCTTTATTTTTTTAAGATTTTATTTATTTATTTAATTGACACAGAGAGAGAGACAGCGAGAGAGGGAACACAAGCAGGGGGAGTGGGAGAGGGAGAAGCAGGCTTCCCGCTGAGCAGGGAGCCCGATGCGGGGCTCGATCCCAGGACCCTGGGGTCATGACCTGAGCTGAAGGCAGTCGCTTAACCAACAGAGCCCCCCAGGCACCCCTTGTTTTGCTTTCTGACACAAGATAAGTCAGGCTCATCTTGAACATTTCCTGCGTAGATCTGGAATCAGTTCTCTCTGAGAACCCTTGGTTACTTTTAGGGGAATGCAATTCAGAAGCCAACATAAGTGCTAAGTGTTCTCATTGCCATTGGGGGAAGGTGCATGGATTCTAGATTAGGGGTCAGAAAACACAACTCTGGCCCTTAAGCCACTGCTTGCTTTTGTAAATAAAGTTTTATTGGAACACCATCATGCTCGTTTGTTTACGTATTGTCTGTGGCTGCTTTCACACAATAACAGCCAAGTCAAATATTTGCAGCAAGATGACATAGTCTGCAAAGCCTAAATTGTTTACTATCCAGCCATTCAGAAGAAAAATTTGCCAACTCTGGTGTAAACATCTAGGAATTATATTTTGTAATAACATTCCATGTTTCTGTTTTTTCATTCAAATTGGAACTCAAGTGTTTTTCTTAACTTCTTTGATTTTATCTTTGTATCTCTATTCTCTTAACTAAAAATATTGTTCTTTAATAACATGGACATAGTTACTTATTTTACTTTATAATATATAAAAATAGCTCCACAATTACAATGTTAATATTACTTCTAAAAATAAAATGGGTGAGACAAGTTTAAGGTTTCTTTGTAGTGTTTTATGCCTTTATAATACATTCCACCAAGAATGTACAGAGTACTGTGCACAAGTCACTTAAAATAATGTTTTTTTTTCCTGTGGGTTCATTGTTTCATTTTATTTTTCATTTTGGAGTTTGCTTAACATTCCTTCTTATATTGATATTATTTGAAAATATGGGGTGCCTGGGTGGCTCAGTCAGTTAAGCATCCATTTCTTGATTTTGGCTCAGGCTATGATCTCAGGGTCGTGAGATAGTGCCCCACGTCGGGCTCCATGCTCAGCACAGAGTCTGCTTGTTCCTCTCCCTACCCCTGCCCCTCCTTCCCACTCGTGCATGTGCACTCTCTCTTTCTCTCAAATAAATAAATAAATAGTCTTTTTTTTTCAAAGATTTTGTTTATTTATTTTGAGAGAGAGACAGAGAGAGAGAGGGACAGAGGGAGAGGGAGAAGCGGACTCCCCACTGAGCAGGGACCCCAATGCAGGGCTCAATCCCAGGACTCTGGGATCCTGACCTGAACAGAAGGCAGACGCTTCACCGACTGAGCCACCCAGGTGCCCCTAAATAAATAAAGTCTTTAAAAAAAGTTATGCCCCTGAGTGGCTCAGTCGGTGAAGCATCTGCCTTCAGCTCGGGTCATGATCCCAGAGTCCTGGGATCAAGCCCCGCATCAGGCTCCCTGCTCGGCGGGAAGCCTGCTTCTCCCTCTCCCACTCCCCCTGCTTGTGTTCCCTCTCTCGCTGTGTCTATATCTGTCAAATAAATAAATCTTTAAAAAAAAAGTTATGAAAATATGTAAAACACAATCTTAATGGAGGCTGTTAACAGGCTTATTAGAAACCTATAAATTAAGGCTATAAAATACAAAGAAGAATGTAGAAGAGTTGGCAATACCATTAGCAAGCTTGAGAAAACTCCCCAACTCATTTTATAAAGTTAATATAATCTTGATACCAATAATGAAAAAGAGAGTATAGGAAAAGCATAGGCCCATCACTCTTACAAAGACTGGTACCCAAACCCCTAACTACAAAAGGAAAATTAGCAGACCAAATCCACTAGTATGTTTGCATGTAAGATAGTTGTTTGATAGATAGATGGAAGGCTAGGCAGACAAGCACACAGGAAGGCCGTTTTAACCTGGACGTTGAGACAGTAGACTAGGAAGCCAGAATGCTTAAGTTTGAATCTCAGCTTCACTCATTACTCTCTGTATAAACCTGGGCAAGCCATTTAACGTTTCCGCGCCTTAGTTTCTTCATCTGCCAAATGGGGCTAATGATAGCACCTACCTCCTAGGGTTGTTGTGAGGCATCGCTCAATTAGTGTAAGATACATCACGTAGAGAGTGTTATATAAGTGTTAGCCTGATATTATTGCTGTTGTTTTTATTATTGGAGGACATTTTGTCCATAGAGTGGTCGTGGCTCAGGGCTTCCACCCAGAGTTAGCTAAACTCGAGGTTAAGGGCATCAGCAGTATCTGAGGGATGTGACAGTACCTTAACAGACCTGACTCGAATAACATAAAAATGATGGGAACTTCCCATAGAGGGCAGAGTGGTAGAACCCCCGACCCCCACCCCGAATCTGCCTCACCCACTTCTAGGGCCAACAGTGATGAGACCAGGAGGCCGAGCAGGTGGAGCAATTCACTTGCGTGGTCCAGCCAGTGCCCTGTGTCTAGAAGACAAACCAGCATAGCAGTTGGAAGAGAAGGTTCCGGAGTTAGACTGCCTGAGTTTAAATTCTGGCTCTATTTGATACAGGTGCCGCCTATAGCAAACTTCCTAATCTCCAGAAGCCTCAATTTGTCCATCTCTAAAATGCAAATAATAGGGTGCCTGGGTGGCTCAGTTGGTGAAGCGTCTGCCTTCGGCTCAGGTCATGATGGGATCGAGCCTCGCATCGGGCTCTCCACTCAGCGGCAAGTCTACTTCTCCCTCTCCCTCTGTGATCTCTCTTGTTTTTGCTCTCTTTCAAATAAAGAAAAATCTTAAAAAAATAAAATGCAAATAATATTAGCATCCAGCCCATAGCGCTGTGAGGATTAAATAAATACATGTCGAATGCTGAAAGGAGAGTGCAGGCACTCTAAGTACCTTATTCAGGAACTTGTCACCATAGAGGCAGGCCTTTAGCAGTGAGGACCGTCTACGTCTCTCCTGGTCCTGAGGAAGCACCGGTGATGGGCAACAGGAGAGATTTAAGCAGCTCCATTGATTTGGAAAGTTCCCGGAGTTGGGTTGGTGCCTGATCAGGTCCCCTTAGGGCCTGGGGGGGCAGGGAGCGGAGAGTGCCGCTGAGCCCTTGGTTTGGCTTGCTCAGAAAAAGGAAATCTGATAAGGCAGATTGCTCCATGGACTCCTACTACCGCCTTGGGCCTTTTCCTCCCGCGGGTAGAAAGCAGCACTTCCTCTCCATCACATGGCTCACCTTCCCCATTGTTGCACCAACCGGCGCTGCTTCTCAGCTTTCCACTCTTGATATCCATGTCAGACCCTCTGGATTGCGGCGGCCGGCTCCAGAGGGGCCTCACACAGTTTCCAGAGTTCTCTGCCTTTGGCAGGAGTTGTAACAGCAGCTGAGAGAAAGCCTGGAATCACTTATGCCAAAGAGGATTTGCTGAAAGGACACTGGGTAGCTCCTAGAATCAAGGGATTTGCTAAACAAACATAGGGTCGCAGAGGCAAAGTCTTGATGGCTCCCGGCACCTCAAAGGTTGGCAAGAAGTCCCTCAACACCAGTGTGCTGTCTCTTTACCTGCGACATTCTCTCAGATCAGCTTATGCCCAGAGGCTAAGGCCAAGGAAGGCCCTGGAAACTTCGGGCCTCCTATCTACTCAGTTTCAGCACCCCATAGGAAAGCGGTCTCTTTCTTTTGTGCTAATTAAAATTACCCTGGTGGACGCAGGCCTGTCTTACGTCACAAGCTTGTCCCAGAGTCCCACCACTGTGACCAAGGATCAGGCCACTTTAGTCAGACGCCACCTCTAGCCAATCACCCTGGCCGAGGAGGTGGGGTCTGTAAAAAGATGACAATTCCCCTTTGACCCTCGGGTTAAAGGAGCATCTCCCCAAAGAAAGCAGAGTCTTGCATTCAGAAGAAAGGAGGGGAGCATGGCAAAAAAAAAAAAATAATAATAAAATAAAATAAATAGATAACCCTACAGTCTCATTAAAAACAAAAATCGAACCTATGAGACCTCGTACAAATCGACATGACTTCCACAGTCATTCAAATGAATATTCATAATGTAGCAAATCCAGACTTAACCCACGTCTGAGAAAATGTGTCCACATAAAGTGACTGTTCTCGCTAACCGAACTTTACCCTTTAAGTGCTAAAACTTGTTTCTTTAGATCATTTTCTATTGTCTCCCTAAAATAAGGCAGAAACAACTCTTCCTGCTTTTATGAAAAGAGTGTCCTGAATACAATTTCATCATGACTTGTCACCAAGTGAAGGTTATCAATTACTGAACATCGATGATGCTTTCCTGGATCACTGAGGTTCATAGAGCTACCTGCCTCTCTGCCAAGGGCGATGGACTACACGTTTTGATTTCTGGTTTCATTTTTAAGTTTTTAGTCTCATGTTCTCAGATGTATTTTCCCACTGCTGTCACCGTGCCTGTCCCTACTACCTTTCCGCCTTAAACACTTCCCCCCCACCCCGCCCCCTGCTTATTTGCTAATTCTAATCTACCGTGGATTGGGAAATCAGATGACCAAGAGTGTTACAATATTGTGTAAAATATTTGCAAATTCAGAAGTTAGAATTTACTGCTGTGTGAAGAAATGATCTCTGAGCGAAAGCTGGGGAACTTGACTATGAATAAATGATGAGAAGTCTCTAACACTTATTCAGGTATTTCTCCACACCTGTCATTTTCTTTCCTAAGTTCGTCTGTTTCTGCTCAGAGATGCATTCTAGATGGTTGCATTACCAAAAGTATGATTTTATAAGACCTGAGGTATTTCTTTACTTCTTTTCTTCATAGTATCTCTTTACTAGATTATGCTTTCTTCATTTAAAAACATCTATTTGTCTGGGAGTCCTCCCTCAGCTAATGATTTTAAGCCATTTCCAAGAAGTCAAAACCTGGACATCCCCACCCCACCCATTAAGTCAGTAAGTGAATACATGGGAAAAATAGCATTAAAATTTACACTGACCCAGCAGCCTCCAGTCACGGGAAGAGAAAATTATAGAGGCAAGTTTTTTGTTTTAGATTTTATTTATTTATTTGACAGAGACACAGCGAGAGAGGGAACACAAGCAGGGGGAGTGGGAGAGGGAGAAGCAGGCTTCCTGCAGAGCAGGGAGCCCGATGTGGGGCTCGATCCCAGGACCCTGGGATCATGACCTGAGCCGAAGGCAGGCGCTTAACGACTGAGCCACCCAGGCACCCCGAGGCGACTTTTTCTATAGATAAATCACTATTAAACATTGTGATTTCAAAATTAACACTGGGCAGTGCTGAATTCTGGAAAGCAATGGAAATACTCCCTTATGGGAAAGAAAGCTTGCAACAAAAACTGACAGGGAATTGAGAAAAGATCTGAATTCAAACACACAGATCCTGCTTTTACCATAGATAATAAAAATAGAAGGGAAAAAAAAAAAACCAGCCCACTTCTCTGCTACTAAATGAGGGTAGATTGAAATGATTATGGCCTGCATGTCCCAGATATGAAGACCCACTCTGGAAACTTCATCTCCAAAAATAGCAAGTCTGGCTCCATCGACATGAGGCTAAACAACAGTTCGATTGGTTGATTCAGGGGAAAATAAAACTGATTGTATGACAAAGTTAAGTAGGTATTGTAGTTACTTTGGCTGAATAATAAACCATCCAGAAACTTAGTAGCTTAAAACAGCAGAATTTATTTTGTTCATAAATCTGCCATCTGAGTGGGGTTCAGCAGGGACAGCTCATAGACTGCTCCACTCCACGGTAGCTGAGGTGACTCGAAAGCCTGCTCCGCCCGCCATTAGCAAGGGATGCTCCAAGGCTGGGGTCTGGAACGGTCCAAGGCTCATCTCCTCACACATCTGGACATTGATGATGGGAAGACTCAAACAGTTGGGGGCCGGGACAGCTGTTTCTCCTCAGACATCTCTCTGTATCTCCATGTGCCCTCTCTAGCATGGTGGCCTCTAGGTAACCAGACTCCTTACATGATGGCACTGGGATCCCCAAGGCAGGTGTCCCCGGAGAGCAAGAGCCTGGCAGAAGCTGTATTCCCTTTGATGACCCAGCCTCAGCAGGCATGCAACTGTCACTTTGTCTGCATTCTGTTGGTTAGAAGTGAGTCAGCATTGGCCAGCTCATGTTCAAGGGGAGGACATGGACTCCACTCTGGCAGCTATAATGTCCAAGAATTTGTGGGTGTTTTAAAACATCACGGTTGGTGACTCTGTCTGCCTGAGGAATGGCCAACAGATATGGCTAGATCAGGCTTCTTAATATGGCAACTCCAGACCTAATTCCCTTCCCTCCTAATTATTCTAGCCAGCGAGCAACTCTTCCTGGAATCTGCCCAAAGGAATCAAGTTTCATGAGTCTGCTGACTTATATTTGGATGAATCTGAGAGAGAGGAAGAGAAGAAACAGAAGAGGTGACTGGGCTTAGTTAGTGTCTACCCCTTTCCAGAGGCCAGGAGTGAGGAAGCTCTACTGAGAGCAAGGCGGACATGTGACACATTTGGGCTTCGTCAGAACAAGATGACCAGAGCCAAGGCCTACATGGAAGCTGCCATGGTGAGAACTTCAGAGAACCCAGCCTGAGCAAGAGAGTGAGAGAGCTCAGGTCAACAAGTGCTCCAGAGTCACCAAGCAGTCCCTTCATAGTCATTTACATTCGTGAGGTAGGGATTCTTAAAACTAAGAGCAATCAGCAATAACACTACTAGGTATTTATCCAAACAATACATAGTGATTCCATGGGGCACCTGCACCCCACTGTTTATAACAGCAATGTCCACAATAGCCAAACTATGGAAAGAGCCCAGATGTCCATCGACAGATGAATGGCTAAAGAAGATGTGGTTTATAAACACACACACACACACACACACACACGCGAGTACCACTCAGCCATCAAAAAGAATGAAATCTTGCCCTTGGCAACAGCATGGATGGAACTAGAGGATATCACGCTAAGCGAAATAAGTCAGTCAGAGGAAGACAAATACCATATGATTTCACTCGTATGTGGAATTTAAGAAACAAAAGAGATGACCATAGGGGAAGGGAAGGAAAAATAAGATAAAATCAGAGAGGGAGGCAAACCATAAGAGACTCTTAACTATAGGGAACAAACTGAGGGTTGTTGGAGGGGAAGTGGGTGCGGGGATGGGGTAACTGGGTGATGGGCATTAAGGAGGGCACCTGATGGAATGAGCACCGGGTGTTATATGCAACTGATGAATCACTAAATTCTACTTCTGAAACTAATAAAAAAATAGGAGCAATCATAATAAACACTTTGGAGTTGTAAGTTACCTTGGGCTTTGTAGAGAATATCCACGTAAATTCGCTCAGTTTCTGCTGTATGGCAAAACCTCTGATTACTTCTTCTCCACCAAAAGGCAAGAGATGGCACTGTCAAGTCCATCTTTAAGGAGGAAATTGGATCAGCCTTTGAAAAGATGGCATCTTATGTTAAGGGAGGCTTGCGTAGCTGCTCGTAGTGGTGGTTTCTGCTGATCAGGTGATTTTTTCAGGAAGTTCTCTCTCATCCTCAAGCCTCAAGGAAGTAACTACCCCTTTCTCTTTTCTCACGCTTATTGTCTTGTGGGTGCCATTTTGGTTAGCTCTTCTCACATCCCTACAATGTTCTCACAATTGTGAACTTTGAGCATTATGAACCATTTGATCCATTTTTACTCCCTGAAGCACTTACATGGTACCTCACACATATATGGTTGTTGAGGAGTGAATGTATAAGTGCGTCAGTGAATGGTCATGAAAATATGGTATACAGAAACCTCAATCTAAAAAATGTGAAGTCGTATGAAGATCACACTCGTAAACGTGAAGGATGTCTCTTCTAACTAGAAAAGACAAAGAAAAAATATAATAAAAGCACATAATCTCATTTATGTATGCTATGAAGAGATATTTCAATATCACCATCTATCCATTTTGATAAACATGTGCTTGGTGTATCTTGGTGGGCCTACGTCAATATTTGCATCATTATCATCAACAGAGAAGAGACTTAATATTTTATAGCAATTTTATGACCATATCATTTGAAAATTGCAT